CGCTCGCAAAAGGGGGCGCCACAGCTAACTGGTTAAGTAATATAATAGATATTTTTTTAAATTTGTGTTGCAGGGGCGACGAGTGATCGTTGGAACGTTAACATCTTGTTAAATCGTTTAAAAGAAGAAAATTAAAAAAAAATTGTGATAACCTTCTACGCGAACAAAATATTGGAGTACCATCCACCATTTTGTCGTAGAATATGTCGTTTTCGAAGATTTATAAGAACCCCACTCAACGCTAAGTGCTTATACGACTTGGGCTACTATATAATTTGTTATGTCCTGTTTAATTAAAGCGTTTTTTACTTTGGCATTGAGTTAAACACATTTAAGAGAATAATGAGTAGCAACAAATGCATTCCTACCCTGTTAGAAATATTCATAAAATTCATGCACTTTTAGTTAATAACATTGTAATAGAATTATACATTTAATTTTCTAAAAGTGAATTAGTATACATTTGTTTCATATTTCTGAATGAACTTATGATTTAATGACACGTGTTAAAACTTTGTGAAATTGCGTGGGAAAATTAATGCACTTATTTACTAAATTTATGACACGTTTATAAAAATTGTTTGCAAGTATGTAATAAAATAATATACCATGAATAATATTTTTAACAAAAGTGTTATAAAATTATATTTCTTCAAAGTGTACAAATGATGAGGCTCAAATTGCCGTACAATTGTCGATTACGATTCCTTTGATCGAAATCTTTTCTAAACCCGAAATATTTAATGCGTCCGGAAGTATAGATACAGCACCACTGGAGTAAAATAGGTCATAATAAAAAACATTAGAGAAAAGGGGAAAGAGCGAGACCTCTCGATTGGCTCGAATCACTGCGGCTGCCGCGGGTAAAAATCTCGAATCTGGATGAGTCGCTATCGATTGCTCTCTCGATATCGAGTTAGACATGCGTGGGGTCATATGAGAATCGGAGCCGTTCCCAACCGCGGACGTTTTTGTTATACGGCTCATTTAATCCGCCATTGAATTAAATGTATTCGGAGGTATAAATGAGTAAAAACAGATTCCCTCTGTCAAATGATGCGAGTCATTGTCAACCACTATACAAGTTTTGATGCCCCGTTTAAGGTGAAGTGAAACACATCGAGGAACTTGATCGACGTCGATAAAGAAGATTTTTCTAAATGCCTACGTTGCCGACGTTAGTTTTTATATTGACAGCTGTGTCGAATTATATTGGGTATTGTACCAAATGGCATACTCCACCTGTCATTTTCGTACAATAAATATCAACAACTCAAAGTAAAACTCCATAAATCCTCTGGATTCATGCTTTCTGAGGCCCTAATTGACTACAGAGGGACCCCCTGCGCCATCTGTGATTTCCAGGTCAATTAAATTTTCACTCCGAGACCTCGTATTACCATCGTTTTGACATAGAAGCGTATACAACACTTTTTTTGCCCTTATCCCGTTCAAATGTGAGTTTATCGACTATCAAAGAGTTCTAAATTGTCGTAAAGTTGTCCTGACCCTTTCGATTCTCATATCAGAGCCTTCGATAATTGTATACGGATCGAAATATGAGGGCTCGACGCCATTTTGGTTCTCGTCTGGACTGAGTTAAAAAATTTGTTTGAAAAATCCAAATTTTGAATGTGTCAGGACAATTCTTAGATGATCAGGAGTGATGTGTCAACGTTTCGGACAGTTTGGTCTAATACCCTTAAAAAAAAGTGTTGTATTCGAATCGACTGATTTGAATGGGGTTTCACTTCACCTTAATTAAAGTACTTATTAAATTCATGGCGTTTAACCCTTTCGGGGTTAATTACTTTTTATGCAATTGACAAATTTTTGCTGGACGTGTTCATACAATGCGTTTGTAGTCCTGGAAGGGTTAAAGTGTTTGGAAATGTATACGAAATCGTCCTGACGTAAAAAGAGAATAATTACGAAAATGCTACAGAAAAAGAGAAAAAGACTGGTGCGTTCGACTAGCTCGAATGATTGCGATTTTCGCTGGGACTAATCTCGAATCCGAATAAGTTACTTCTAATTGTACTCATACAATGAAGTTAGATGGGCACGGGCTTGTTTGAGTTAAATTTGTAACAGTGACAGTTCTATTACGATCCACTAATGCGCTATTACTTGAAATATCCCGGGAAGAACGAATAATACCACTCGAGATTCGATAAAATTCTTGATTATTATCCACTTAATCGATTCCTGATGGACTTAAACACTTTCCACTAATCTACTAATACGTCATTATTTTAAATATCTCGTGGAGAACGAATAATCACACTCGAGATTTGGTAAAATTCTTGATTGTTATCCACTTAATCGATTCTTGATGGACTTAAACACATATAAAATTATCCAGAGTAGTCTCATATGAATGGATAATAATCCCAGATATGTTAGAGAAAAACCGGCAGAACAAAAATTCGATTTATTCGACGAATTACAGGTTGAGATGAGATTCTTAATTATTACCTACTTAAATGTTTATTGACATTGTTCGTCGCGACAGTAAATGATACAGCATGGGGACCAATACATTTTTTCATCCGCTTAGTCGATTATTAATGGGATGAAATATCTGGAAACATAAATGTTGCCCCAGTTTCTTAAGAGTGGCGAATAATCAGAGAAATATTACATGAAAAGGGAAAAAGCGGTGACACGATTGGTTCGAACGATCTCGATCATCGGTAGAGAGAATTTGCTCGATTACTCGACCGCAATCGGCTTAAACATGCTCGCAATTTAAAAAGTTCCAACAGACGTTTAACAAGAGAAAATATCCAAGGAAATGTCGGAGTGGTAAGGAGACGGAATTCAATTTGTACGAGTGGCTGCGCCAGTCGATCATTAAAATTTCGATAAAATCCCCGGTGATTGTTCGTCTACAAGGTAATAGTGCATGTCCGAAATTAGTACAATTTCATCAGAGAAACCAGGAAAGATTGGCAAACCAAAAGGAGCAAGGTTTCATCGAATGATTACCTACGTCTCTCAAACCCTGAAAAACATTTTTCCTAATAAGCAATTTTTACAATTTTTTTTTCTTAAGTCTTCCTCAATTTGTTAAAATTGTAACAGGAATTTTAAGAACAAAAGAGGGTCAACGCGTTAACGGGACGAACACGATAACGGAGCACTTTAGAGAATTCCACTAACTTTAGGAACACTACTTTACTGCTGCAATTGGCGGCACGAACTTTGCTAACAACACGACACATTTCTGCTGATCTCCAAACTTGGTGGGCTATTTTTCAAAAAGGAACGAATCTCGAAAGTGCCGACGAAGTAGGTTCTCGGCGAAAAGCCAGAGATAGAATTTAATCAAATAAATGGCTACAAATTACTCCCCGGTTACGTTTATAATCCCTTGCAGTTCCTTTATATCCTTTTACATCCCTTTATATCCTATTATAATCCTTTTCAGTAAAAAAGGAATCGGGTAAATCGTGTAATCCTTCTCGTAAGGTAAAAGTAGGATCGCGAAAATACCGACAAGGTAAGACATTTGACCTTCGATTGGGGGGAGAGGGGTTCTTCGGATCGACGATACGAATTTCAGCATCGTAAAATCCTCGACAGCGATTCACTGGCTTTCACGTAAAATAGGTCTGGGATTCTAGAAGTCCCGTCCGAAGCACGGGAAAAGAGTCGCAAAGATGCCGCCGAAGAGAGTGAAATCCCCATCTAAATCGAGACGTATTTTCCCAATTCGAGGTTAATTTCCTTCTTCGGATTTAATCTTTAGATGTGGTAGTCTAACGCACCATTGGTTTATTTTCAGAACAGTCGTCCGATTTTTATCAAGATCCTTGAGAGCGAAGTTTCAGAGATTAGCCACGTAATCATGGTACTCACGTAGGAGTAATAACACCGTACGGCAGTTTGGTCGGGACTTTTTCTTAATTCTTGATTTTTGTTCCTACACTTCTTCTAAGAATTCGGCTCACGTGGAACCACCCTTTCGAGGCCCCCTGTTCGATGAAACCTTTCCTATATTCCGCCACCGTCCAAGTCGTCGATAATCGGCCGTGAGTTGCATATTCCCTCCAGTATACATCACCGAAAGTCGAACAATAGAGGAAGGAATCCTTGCCATAAATTCTTCCACCCCTATTAAAATTCTTTCCAAGGATGTAAAGCAAATCCAGGGATCTGGCTTTAAAAACGTCGCGAGGACCGTATTTTCTCATTTTTATTCCACGCATATCAGGTTTGAACGGTTTGTTCGGCAAACCTGTACAAAAAAATATAGTTCTATCGCCACGTCTTTATGCATACGAGAGAGAACTACTAAATGGAAAAACAGAAAATATAACTAAATTAGAAACCTAAGGAAACGTTTATCGACGGGAAGAATCATCAATTTGCATTCAAATTGGAATGTCCAGATTTAAGGTGATACGAAAATGGCGGGGGAGGGATCTTCGTGAAAATTTTGTCCGCCCTAAGCGAACCGAATCGTTTGAAACTGTATCAAGTGAATATGGAGGTCCTAAAGAAGATCCCGATATCCGTGACATTTAATTCTTTAAAAATTTTTGCATAAGAATTTTTTCTATTCGGCGGAATAAAAATGTAATTTCGCGGGCACCACCTTCTATAAGACCACGCGGTAAAACATCAAACGATTCGGAACACCCAGTTCGGGAAAGTTTCATGCACGATCGACCTCTGGGATACGACCGCGATGTATCGCCTTAAAAATGCGGCGGTCTTGCCCAAACCGGGGCAAAACTCGATTTCTCGAGAAACGAGCACGTATAGATCGACGAACGATGTCGACTTCTTCCGCGAGAACGTCCCGAAAGCTCTCGCCGAGCCCCGGGAGCTCCGCGATTATTCATTCCAGGGGCGACCTCGGGTGGCGGCGCTTAACCCCGGGGGTTGCGCGAGACTCTCTCGCCATCGAGGCTAAGAGGCATCGTTTCCAGCACACCCCTTTGATAAATAATCGTCCGGGATTTGGTAAAAATCACGAAGGCCGTCCTCACCGGTCTGTCCCTTCCCGAGGGTCTTCTCGAGGCGGTAGGGGCCGACATACTGATGCGTCTCCTGGGTGTTGGGACCGACCGGGCTCTCCTTGCCCTGCATCGTGCCCGCGCCCGCGGCTTCGGAGGGCCGTCACGGAGCGCTCCCTCGCCCAGGGTGGTTCGCTCCTCCCCGGCGGCTCACCGCTGCCCGCGGAGGACCGCTTCGACGAGCATGGCGCGTAGTCCGGCGACGCGATCTCGAGCGGAGGTTGCCCGGCCCCGATGGCCGGCCGTCACTCTCTCGACCTGTCCTTTTTCTTGACGGAGTGCCGCTTGTGGATCTTCATGCTGCCCTACCTGTCCAGGGGCCACCGCGCTCGGGGTGGTACCGGCACCGATCCGTCACTCGCGGCGAGGCCTTCGAGGAAGTCGGCCCAGTCCTGGCGTCGCGGCGCGCACTGACGCCCCCTTAGCGACGCGCGCGCCGCTCATCCGCGCCACCGCGCCGCGACGTCGCCGGAGGTAAGAGCCCTCGAGACCACGTTGGACGCCATTGCGGCCCCTCGCGCCCCTCTCGCGACCCTTTCAGCCCTCGATCCGGCCGGGCCGATCGCGCGACGTCACTGACATTTTCCCGGGTTTCGGCCAATTTTCCGCGCGCACTCCTGGCCTGCACTGGGAATCGCTCGTCGCTCGGGGAACGCTCGGCGCGGACCTAGGGGCTTACGGCGAACCACGGCGCTCCCAGTTCGATTACGTGCTCGACGGGCTGCGCGCGCACCCACGGCCCGGTATATCATCCCCCTAGGGTTGCCAGGATTTGACATGTCGGGTGGGGGTGCGCACCGACCGGCCTCGATGGTTCCAGTCCCAGATAGGGGAGACTTCCTGTGGTTCGCGTCCGGGCTAACGCTGCGCCCGGTTAAAGAGGAACGAGCCGGCCACCGGCCGAGAGTGCACACGTGATTAACTTACCTTTTTATTTCCCGGTCTTCTTATCGAGGGAGTCTAAACGACTGCACGGAAAGAAAGCCATTCCTTGTAAAGTTTTGCCGCTATACCAGGAATGATCGCCCCAACAACGAAAATGTTTGCGGTTATAGCGAATCGCGGATGTAATCACCGGATAGCTCTCTTTAGAAAAAATGCTTGCTAAATTAGGGTAGGGCTAATGAGTTCGTTGCAGTGGTCAAAAAATATTGGTGTCCCTCCTGAAGCGAATGTGCGATATACGATTTGTTGTCGCTAGGAAAGAATGCGACTATGATTAAAATTTGCGTTGCCCCAGGGAAGCAATTGTTTATTTGTCGTCGATGTATCAAAAATATTTCCATGTTTTCGGTACAGCTGTTCGTACGAGTAGACGGGTGTTTCGAATTGTATAAAAAGGCGAGACGTCGGTAATTATTTTGTCCGGAAGTATCCGCTTGGAGAAGAAACGGCCGAAAGGCGGTATATTTACGACTTTCATTCCAGGCGTTACTGGTCCGCGTTGTGGAAATGCGAGGACGTCGTAAGAATGCGGGGGAATTTAAATAACCAGGCTTCGGCACTTTTACGGTCAAATAATTCCCCACGGCGAGAACGGGTTTTTGTTGCCCGGAAGTATTATCGAAATGGAAAAAAAATATTTAATCAAGAAACGCGGGAGCGTCTCGAACGAGTTCGTGGAGCTTGATTGTGTGCTTTATTTTAACAGCGCAATTAGGAAGCTCCGTTGCGACTCTTGGAGGACGAGCTGAACTTGTTCATTTTCTTGTTTACCTTTTATTTTTACTTGCTTTCCGTGCTCGTGTTGGTTTGATTTTACGCATTAATAAATCTTTTAATAAGGGAAGAAATGAAGTCCACAACGGGAGAAAGAGCTTAGGGGGGAGGTGGGCGAAATGGGGTCTTGAAAATGAAATTAACCTCTGAATCAGGCACTGGGTCGAAATGAGTTTTCTTCCTTTTCTTAATTAATTACAATTCCAGTTGAAGGGGTGGTACGGTTATTTGGATTTACTGTAACTCACTTTGAATAATTATTCAATCATTTTCCCCTCGGCATACCTGGTCAATAAATTTATTCTGAATTTATGAATGACCCCAAGTACTTCTCGCGTTACCGGTGCCACGTATAAAGGTAGACAGGCGATGTTTGTATCCAAAACCACTTTGCATTCTGAATTAGAAAGTCACTTCATTTTGACAATTATCCACGTTTCTTTGATAAGAAGTTCGTTTAGTTCTTTGAAATTAGAAAATCCGTAGGTTTAAACAATATCAGGGACGATGAACCCGAACTGGCATCATACCAGTGGATTAAAATTTCATGCATTAGATTTTGCATTCATTTCCTGAACTCCACTCTGAGAAAATTATTGCGTCTCGAAACGACTTTGGAATAAGGCGTTTCCTTCCCCCATTCTCTGAATAGCCTTAAAACTGACCGGGATAAAACCGCGAACAGAGTTAACACCAAAAGACTCAATTCTCATTAATTCCAGCCAATTTACATCATAACATTCGAGGAATCGTCGAACCGATTCACCCGTACCTTCATTTATCACATCGAACCTTTGAAAAAGCGGCACCGAGGTTCTTAAATCCCGTAGTTCAATTGAGATTGCTTTATTTATCCGAAAAATATCAGGAATGAATTAATCTCAGCCGAGTAAAAGGAGTACGATAACGCGGTGGCTCCTTTTGAAAGTAATTTGGATACAATTTCTCGATTAACCGCGCCACTTTCCTTTTAAACATGCCTCGCGGTAATGCATTTATGAATGCGCTTTGTGAAGCAGTCAGCCCGTAATACCGCACAATGGCTTCGACCCATTTTTTCTCTTTTCTTCATTATTTCCTCTTTATTTCCAGGAGACTTCTCGTGGGCACTTGATTGCTCGAATGGGATTATTTAATGATTGCACAGCCGCGAAATTCTCACAGCATTACGCAATGATATATTCTACGGGCGAGACGTCCCGATCGGGGTAACTCGACAGACTCGATGCATAATTCAGCGTTAATTCGGATCGAAAGTCAAGGTTCCGGGGCCCCGAGATGAGACTTACCTATTCTTTGAGTGCAACATTAATGGGCCCGTTTGAAGTGTATATTGGGACAAGTCAAAAGTGAACTCACTTATTCATGGAGGTTCCTTACTTAACGATTTCCCACTGGACCATGGAGCGACGTCGGGGACATCTTTTGGATTATCTATTCATTTGTCGTCTCGCTTAGTAATGGAGATTAAGAAGACCCACTGGACCATGGAGCGACGTCGGGGACATCTTTTGGATTATCTATTCATTTGTCGTCTCGCTTAGTAATGGAGATTAAGAAGACCCAAGGTTGAAATTGTCGGCGTCAATGAGCCCGGACTTCACTTGCAAATCTCCTTCAATGTACGTGGATTGTGCACCGAGGACTAGGGGAATGAATTTCTGGTTCTTATTCCTGGGTTTTACCAACCGAATCGAACCTTCCCCTATAGGAAAGTACGGATTCGCAAAGAGAAGTTTCTCACTTGCCACGCGGTCGAGTGAAAGTACCTCCGAAAAGATGACTTCTCATATCTCCAGCGTGGATCCGAATTCTAAACAATGGAATTGCGGTAAAAACTTGTACACGAATTGGAAGTAGAATGGTTCAACTCGCGTTAAATAAGGTGCAAGAAATTTGAAAAAACCGTAAAAACTCGTATACGCGGTATGCTCGTTAAAAAGCACTATAACGAGAGATCGGTTTAACGCAGAATTTAATAAAGTCTATCGTAAGAAAGTACTCATTGTCGGTAATACTCTACCGAAACATTTTCTTCATGACTCATCTCAAACTAAAGGAATAAAGTTTCGGAAAGCTGTTTGAAAGGTTCCACGGTAAGTCAGGCATATTATGGTCGAGTTATTAGTAAGGATGATAAATTGCATATTAATTTTGTCCGAGTCGAGGGCAAAAGAATGCGTCTCCCTATTAATCATCAGCGGTCTGGTTAATTATTCAGGTCATCGCAATAATGAATTCTTGCAGGGGAATTTATTCGGCGTATTAAATTCATCGTTGAAGCATTCAATAAGGGACTCCGGAACGTATCCACTGTTCAACCGAGATGATTACCCTTCTTGCTGTAACCTTAAGGACACCCGTTACAGGGATACGAATGCAATATAGATACCAAGAGAGAAAGGGAGACCGGAAATATGCCCGAGGGAGAGAGAGGACTCGATGGCACACAGAGGAGGGTGGAAGCCAGGGATCGATATATAGAAGCAGAAAGGAACACAGGAAGCATCTGACACAGGAAAACTCCTGAGGGATTCTTCTTATTGGCAACTACAGCTGCTTGAATATCTCATGAGATCCTTCCGCAGATTTTCGCCAATTTCATAATTTGCAATCATTTCATCAGGACTCCGTCGAGACTGAAAATTCCTTGTGACCATTCATGAATTCTGAATAATTCATGGGTTGATATTTATCGATGCTCTTTATTAAGAGTATGTGGATAGCTAACAGGAAGTATATACAGCGATATTGGGGTCAAACACTCGATCGGTTACATAAAGACACGAAGATGCCGAAAAACTCCTTGAATATCTCATGATTTTGCTCATAAGTTATTTAATTATGACTTGTATCGATTTAATTAAACGCAATAAATTGAAATAAGTTCTATATGAAAGGGTTTAGATTTGTATTTCTCGGTATGAACGAGAAATAACCCAAAAACTGGATATTTCTGCATTAAATGAATGTTTCTCATGGGCAAAAAGACGACTTTTTGAATGAAAATACCTCACTTCAAATTAACACTAAGTTTACGGGCGTTTTTTATATACCTGTTTCTACGAGCACCCGTCAAATTGACGGGTAAACGAAAACACGGATTTTCTTTAAAAAATCGATTTATTCAAATTAAGTCAGAATTAGACAACACTAGGCTTTACGTTTAAATAAATGATGAATAAGTAAAGCTTTTTTAAAAATTATCACGGAAATGATTGCAATGCTCGTCCTCTCATCCTCGGAGTCAGAACTAGAAAGAATACGCATCCTTTTCTTGCTAGGACACATTTTTAAGAAGTTTCCCTCTTCACTATCCGAAGATCCTTCTATCTCTCCACTTTCGATGCAAAC